AATATTAACTGGTGTGTTAATATCTTTCTTATCTCCGTCTCCTCTGGTGTGAGGGAGAGAAGAGTCCGTCCTCGCTCGCCGTGGTGTCGGCGCGGAGGGATAAACTAGCAACAGGTATGTTACTGTTTGAAGAAAAAAATCAAACCGTACCGTTATTTTGAAAGTAAAAACGGCGGGGCAGATTACAATATTAACTGGTGTGTTAATATTTGTTCAATTCTTCTGCAAAGCAAAAAAGTAACCGGCAAGCGCCCGTCGACCGAATGTTAGCTTGGGTTCAGTCTGTGGACCGTTAAGCTAGCCCGGCTACTGATATTCGAGATGTGCTCTGATCCGAGAAGAGGTGTTTGAATGACGCTGCGACGTAGCACAAGCTACTTAAAGGGTGGGTGGATTCCCTGACGTAGACGTCAAGATCACCAGCCAATCAGAATTGGCATAATGAGATTTATGCTTCTGTTTGAATACGCGTTGAGGCCTATGGTTGAGGTGCATCCCATAGTGAGACATCGAACGGAGTGTTATGAATGAGAACATACACATGTTCTCTCACTGTCGCTCTACCATCAACAAACACACATGCACACGCCACACCCCCCTCTCTCTCTCTCTCTCTCTCTTAAAGGGACAGCGATCTCATCTCACTCTGCATGACCCTAATATCATAACATGTGTGCTCTGGAGAATCACAGAACGGACGATCGTCCTTATTATTATGCCGTTTAAACCAATTATTTAAATATGCATGTGTTAAATTCGGCATCATGTAAGTTGCGCTGACAGGTCCACACACTGCTTCCCCGCAGCGAGGCTCCCCCCCCCCCCCCGTTAATTCTCGATTGTTGGCACGCTGATAACAATTTTTAAAAAAAATGTAATTTTAAAAAAAAATGGCACTTCATATCAAAAAGGTTGCCGACCCCTGGTCTATGGCCTTCTAGAGGGTAACGGGGTACAGAGTCGCTTAGATAAGCGGGGGAGTGCATCTGATGAAGAGATAGGTTGTTGTGCTCCCTATCTCTGTTTCTTATCCTATATCTAATAGAACTGCTCGGGTCTTGATAGATTGAGTGGGGAAGTTCATGAGATATTTCTAGAGGGTTATCAAGAATAACTTTTATCCAATGACCTTCTGGATTAAGTCGTGGACTTTGGGTCGTGGCTGAACCTGTCTCTGCGGTCCTGCCTTGGGTCTCGTCATGCTGCTTCCCTGATGGCTTCCACAGAATTGTAGCTGACATCCTCGTGGATTCATCTTCTTATTAGAGACACATGCATTTCCTAACATTCGGTCTTTATGCTGTAAAATGTATTATCTCTTCGATTTACACACGGCATCTATTGCACGTCTGTCCGTCCTGGGAGAGGGATCCCTCCTCTGTTTGCTCTCCCTGAGGTTTCTCCCATTTTTTCCCCTTAAACTGTGGGTTTTCTCTGGAAGTTTTTCCTTGTACGATGTGAGGGTCTAAGGATAGAGGGTGTCGTTTTTCTCATACTGATATTCTGAACAATCTGTGCTGTTGTATTTGCTGTAAAGTGTCTCTACTGTAGGCTATTTTTATTATATGTACAGCACTTTGGCTCGACCAAAAATCGTTTATAAATGTGCTATATAAATAAAACTTGATTTGATTTGATAGTTTTGTTCTCACACAGAAACCCCCATTAATGTATAATTTAAATGACTATATGGTCTTAATTCATCCTGCTAGAGCGCATTTTATAGTACTGACTGGCACCATAAGACCATTTCTTACATGGGTAATTATAAATGGTAATGTTAATGATGTCAACAGTTTATTAAAACATAAAACTTGAAAGCTGTGTCATTACTGTAACTAGACCCATGTGACTAATGGAGGCCTTTACATCATTCTTTTATGTAACACATTAATAATGATCAACACCGATTGTATTTGTTTGTTCACATACATCTCAACTGAAATCAAAGAGCTAATGAAAGCGAGCTCATCCCAGCGAAGCGCATTAAAGTGAATTATTATGTGTCAAACAACTTAGCTTTGATCAACAACCCAAGCCTCAAAAACAAATAAAAAAAGAATAGTAAAAGTAAAGTTATAATTCAGTTTCACTCCACTTGTCAATACAGAGATGCTAAATATTGATATTAATGTGTTTTTAAACGGAGCAGAAATAGAACTAGTCCCCCACTTCAAGTATCTTGGAGTTATACTGGACTCGAACTTGACTTTTAAGAAACATATCAAGAAAGTATCCAATACCGTTAAATTCAACTTGCAAAATGTTAAACAAATCAGACCTTTCTTAACTGTCAATGCTGCAAAGTCATGCCTCCACTGCATGATTCTATCCCACATTGAATACTGTTTTACAAACTGGTCGTTTGCTTGTGCCACAAACCTGAAACCGATAGAACAGCTGTACAAGAGAGCTATCAAGGTGTTTGAGAGAAAGCCAAATTCATACCACCACTGTACCATCCTTGAGAAACACAATTTCTTGAGTTTTGACCATTTTAAGTCTTAAAAGTATGTGTTTTTTTTTAATAAATGTTTACATGGACTGGCCTCCCTCCCTTATGGGAATTCATCCACAGAAAACACACTGGACGCTGCACTAGGTCAGAAACCAGAGGAGACTGTGAAGTTCATCGTAGACGGACCACTTTTGGTCAAAATGTCCTCTCCATTAAAGGCAGCTCATTCTAGAATAGCCTCCCAACTCAGATACGGGATTGTCCCACTCTCAATAGCTTTAAAGGACAACTCAAAGAGTGGTTGAGAAACAAATAGATGTGCAATCACTGCTAAATGCACTTTAATACAGGGGAATCTCCTCTTGCACTTTATGTAGCTCTTTTATCTCCTCCTGCACTTTATGTTGTTGCTGCTACATTGTACTTCCTTGTGGTAAATGCTTTTATGCTGCTCATGCTCTTTCTGCATATCATGTATTTCTGTTTGCCATGTATATAAATGCTATGTTCATAAATGTTGTATGTGTATGTGTACTACGGATGGAAATTAGCTCAAAGCTAAAATCCGGCTCATTTACATTTCAAAGCATTATTTTGTTTAAAATATTCATTAATGTGCAGTGTCCCGGTTCAAATAAACGATTAAATGAATGAAATAATCTGCAGTCACACATTGTAAAACTGTGGTTGATTGTGTCACGGAGGATTACACTTGGACTCAAAAAGCAATCTATTTAGGTTCAGTCCGACACATCTGGAAATACCTATTTTACAATACAGTAGCTACAAGGGCATTTGTTGCTTTAGTGTAATGGTTGAATTATTGTATGTCAACATGAATGATACCCTTCTTGTCGTAGTTTCCCCATTGGGAAGAAGCATCTGGCCTTTTGCATGGTGTCTTGAAGAATTTGCTTTGGGCATCTAACACATGATAACAGTACCATGTGAAATGGTCATGGTTAACTATACCATCTCATGTAGCTCATAATGTCGCCTGTAAAAATAAGTACTTAACAATTTGAAATGGTCGCTGTTAAGTTAGGTTTAAGCAACCACATTAGGGTTAGAAAAAGGATGATGGTTTGGTGTTACAAAATGGAAATGTTTAACTATTGACATAATTTCATATAGCATAATGTGTCAGTTAAAACAACTCAACTTTGAGTTAAAACTCGGGTTTAAGTCCAGTGTTTGATTGATGAATCCACCCTTGCTTTACTTGATGGACTTTCTCGCTCTTAACACTACGTCCATTGCTCTTAGATTCTAACAATTATGTGAGTGGACTAACATCGGTGATGGATAAAAAGGCTGTTGCGTCTTATACCGATGCCTTAAGATGCCTTTTGGGTTGGTATAAAGACGCAGAGGCCTACTTCTCGAATGGCGGTATGTGACGCCTTTTGAGCATCACCAGGCCCAACAGCTCTAAACATTTTCTCCCTCCTAAGCACAATATATTACTGACGGGATGCCTAAGACTATTTGGCCCAACACAAAGATGCCATCCACATTCATTTCAGCCTTCTAATCACTGACGCAAAGCACAGGTCGTTTGCCAAGCCCGCACCATGGCAACTCAATCCCAGCTACAATACTTCTCTGGACGAATGTGACAGAAGCTACACCACCTGTTTCTCTGAGCCAATCTTCTGTATACACTCTACATCTGTACTCATAAAACATGTATTGTATGTCAATAGCCTGCTCTGGATGCCTATGCATGTGACTGTAAAATGGTGCCCATCTCACATGTCCTGAAATCCCAAGGCCGAACCTACTGCGTTCAAGTCTTTCGCGTTCAATGAGATGTCAATTTTTTTTTACTGAAAGTGTTTTTAGAAATATATTTAAACCCAATATGTTGTATTCAAGCTTACAAGTAATTCTACTCAACAGATATACAACATGCATCATGTTATTGTACAGTATAGCTGTGGCAGTGGTGGTGGTGAATCGGTTCCTAAACACATTTACAACAGCCTGCTCAGGGGATATGCCAGAGTGTAGGAAGGATATAGATTTAGTCGCATTTACACTAAGGAAGCCTATAAACACCTTCTCCTTTTCCCTACAGGATGTGGTAGAAAATAGCTGATCTCACAGCTACGTATGTGGTGAAACTCAATATTTGTTTTCTTTAGAAAAAGTAAAGCCAGAATAAAAGATGCTCAGAGTGATACTTTTTTTTGTTTCTCACCTATCCATTGTTGACAGTGTTGATCTTTGGCTTTCTGAGCCCTTTGTATTCTAACACATTTAAAATCAAGATCATTCAAAAGCCATAATGTTTTATCCTTGTCCTTTTTTAATATTCCCGTTTTTGTCATTTCTGTTTGGTAAATACTGTTAATATAGCCTACCAAGCACACATAAGCTTATACATTATTTATCTATTAACCTTATCTATTAAGGGAAAACTGTTTTATGGAATCAACACTGTTTTTTACAATACCCTGAGACACTTTTGATTACTTTTGCTTAAAAAGACAGTCTTTAAAGCTCTCTTAATTAAAGCATTTAGAAACCTTATACGTACCTCTCTGCATCCCATAAGTTGAGGTGAGCAGAACCAGCAGAAAGACTGAAATGGTTTCCACAACTTTCATCTTGGCTCTAGAAATATCTGTCCTTTTTGTACACAGAATAGGCCCGGTTGTTAGAATCCCATGGCAGGTCAGGAGACGTTCTCTCTTGGTGTTTTCCTTCACTGTGTGCGGCTGCGTGTGTCTTATCCAGGGACAGCCATGATCTCTGTGCTCAACAAGGACCAGCTCAGTCACTCTGTGTGTGTGGTGTGTGTGTGCGTGTGTGTGTGTGTGTGTGTGTGTATGTGTGTGTGTGTGTGTGTGTGTGTGTGTGTGGGTGGGTGTGTGTGTGTGTGTGTGTGTGTGTGTGTGTGTGTGTGTGTGTGGTGTGTGTGTGTGTGTGTGTGTGTGTGTGTGTGTGTGTGTGTGTGTGTGTGTGTGTGTGTGTGTGTGGTGTGTGTGTGTGTGTGTGTGTGTGTGTGTGTGTGTGTGTGTGTGATTGACAGTGGCAGCTGCTAGTTGTCCTCATGTACAGTCACTCAGGTTTTGTAGCTTTGCTCAAAGCTCCAAAGGCTCCAGTGCTGGAGAGCTATCCTCATACACAGTGATCAACAACAGGCTTTATTCATGGAGCAACACAACAAGCTAAGTTCAAGGTTCTGCTTTTGAGTGACATGTCCCAAGTCAAAGGTCACATTTGTGTCAGTGAGGCTACAGAAATAGAAGGAAGAAAAATCTATTATTCCTTTGACTACATTGAATACAAACAGAATGTGACATACAACATTACGTTGATGAAACATTTAAGTTGGAACTATACAGAACTTTACCCTATTTGAACATAATGGGGACAAACAAACATAGGCTACAAGCAGCATAACATAGCCACATCACCCCCTAAAGTTTGTTACTGTACATGACACTACACTGTTACTTGTTTTGTCTCAGTTTGAAGTCTTATTTGCAGAATAACAATACTAAAAGTACATGTAAAGATTGTAACACGTGCAGTATAACACATTATTCTCTTTTCTCAAATGTACACAGAGGCATCTTCAAACTCGCCACTCGACATGTATTTTGACATATGCACAAGTCCAGGAGGCAGCCTTTGTGTCCACCTGTTGCCTGCCAGCCTGTATGTCCTGTGTTATTTTAGGAAAGGAATGGCATTTCAGTTCATTTACTTCTCATCCGTTCTGGTTTGGATTGCGTCAACTATTGTACTCCCCCCAGCAGGCAAAGTAACATTTAGTTGTAAAGGAAACACTGTAGTCTAGATCTTTCAAAACAAAAAACATGTTTTAACTGTTGCTTTTTAAAAACGTAAAGGGTTGAAGTTGACTGCAGTTTTGTGCTTTCGGTTTATATAATAGACAATAGCCTACTATCTCTTTTAATGTTGATCTTATATTAAAAAAAGGAGGAATGACAAGAGCTAAAATCTGTAAAAAAATATCCATAAAATGTCCACATTTTGACTGTCCCTTTATCCCTTTTAAACTGTGCATGACTCTCACCTTCTATGCTATTCATGTCTTATATAACAACGTATATACAAATGTAACTATCAGTAGATAATTCACACTGCACGCCACTAGGTGTTGCTGTTATGTAGGGTATATGATTTCCCCCTTCTAATAAAGCCAACATACTGCTGAAAAGCGTCTTTGAGTAAGTGTTTATCCATACTAATACATCACTTCTTACTTGTTGAGTAAATGTTCTATTATTAAATTGAATGTGCAAACTAGTGACTAAAGGTATTACAGAAATGAAGTGATGTAAAATGTATAATACTTGCCTCTGAATTGTAGTGAGTGGAAGTATAAAGTGGAAACTTGGAAATACTCCAATAAAGTACCTCAATTGTACTAATCTACAGTACAAGATTAAATGTACACCCCCAATACCAGAACACAATTTCAGTGTCAAAATACCATATGCAAGCGACTACTGACTCAGCAGTTTAATTCTGTAACTCCTCTGGTTCCCTCTGCTGACACATACTATGTACGCTCTCTCTGCTCCTAAAATACAATCCAAAAATTAAACTACTGTAAGTACAAGACTTTTTCATAAATGATTTAATTCAGAAAATTGGACCCTGGTTGTGTTGCATTCGTGGATCGACTGTTGCAACGTGTTTGCATTGCATGCATTCAGTAATTTGTCAAATGTGGAGCTGTTTTCTCCAAGGGAGCATAGACACTTAGGCATGGTTACACTTAAAAGACACATTTGACCCTGGCATCCTTAATAACACCATGACAACTTTCACTTTTAGATCTTTGAAAGCTGCTGCCTCAGGTTCAGAAAAGTACTGTACTTTGTGGTTAGATTATATGTTAAGACCCTCCCTGCCTATTTCTTCTTTAACCAGAAACTAGAGTCCCATTTTGTTCCACTGAAGTTGCTCTGTAATCCACATGGTGTCCCTGTTAAGCAAGAAAAAGAAAAGAGTGGAGCAAATCATTTTCACAGATCAAAACATTTATTTATTCTTGTGCTAAAAACGTTATTTCTGCAGCACCTTTAAAAAAAAAAAAAACATAGATACTATTTAAGAGAAATATCGTTATTTACTTTATAAATGAAAAATGTAATCAAACTGTTCAAATGTTCAACAGCATTACGGTTGCAGATTTAAAACAGGTTAAATATTGGAAATTGAGACAAAACAAACATGCAACAAAACAAATGTAATTTATATTTTAATATTTTCCCCAAATGTGGCATGTAGTAGAAGAATAGCACAGGACCGAGCACTGTTCCCTGTGGTACTCCATGTCAGAAATAATTGTTATAGTGAAACAAAACGTATTTTCAGAAGGTTAGAAATATATTCAATCAATAGCATCAGCTCTCTGTGCAGGTTGAATACATACAGGGGAGATATTCTCATGTCAATATACTTAGGGTCAGCGAGCTTGCCTATAGCCCCACCTGGTATTGCTTGCTACACCTGTCCTGGTGTGGCAACATTGAGTGTTTGCTCTTTGCCTAACAATGAGCGTCATGACTGTGGTGCCTATGATTGAACCCATTTATTATGTCTTTATAATGTTTGTCCTCAGTAAACTCTCCTGGATTATCGTTCTCTTTATTCTACAACTGTCAATTTGTATGACCAGCTGCATGATGTCAATTTTAGATTTCCATTGACTTAGTGTACAGTGTATACATTGTTGTAGTCCTTAAATGAAGTACTATTTTGTACTGCAAACATTTGACCTGAAAATGCATTGTTTGTTGTCGATCATTGTTGGGTTTTATATACATTTCACCTATTTGTTCACTATGTACATAATAGTTTTTTTTCCACATTTATAAGTTCAGCTTTGCTTTCCTTGCTTTATTAAGTATGTTTCTGTTTTTGTTAGTGTAAGTAGAACAATTTCAAATTGTAGTCAAACTCATTGTGTGTACTCATACATGGTAAAAAAATACTGACTCAGATATTGAATAGATCAAACCTTTAAAGTTGGCTAGCAGCTTGAAACTTAAAAAAATAGGTTGCTTTAACACTCAGTCTCTTGTCACACACACGCACACACACACACACACACACACACACACACACACGCACACACACACACACACACACACACACACACACACACACACCACACACACACACACACACACCACACACAGACAGCAGGCGAGTCATATCTGGTGTCAGTCAGCCCCTCCTTCTCGACACTGTCTCAGCGTGTCTTGCAATAATTAACCAGCTGCTGCAGTGTGCTCTACAACCTCACCTCCGACCACATGCACTGTACTCTGGACCTATGACAAACACAAACACACACACACACACACACACACACACACACACACACACACACACACACACACACACACACACACACACACACACACACACACACACACACACACACACACACACACATACACACGCAAAGAACCTCAAACATGGAGTGAATCATCCTCATTTGTTTCGAGACTGTTGGCCAGGTAGGAGTGAATGTTTCTTTCATCATTTGTTATTCCATGCTTTTAATTTGATTTTCTATGGAAGTAAAAGATCAAAAAGCTGCTATGTTAAGCCAACAATAGCATTTATTAATACCGAAATTATTTGAATTTGACCATAGTGTAATGGGTAATTAAAACTAAGATAGTGCAGTGTTTGAATAACAATGATAGTGTACAATTTGAATAACAAACAGCTAACTCCTCTTTCATTGTCAACTTGGTGAAGCAAGCATTTATGTCACAGTTCATATAACCTAAAGTCTCTGGGTTTCAATTGTATAAATACCTTTTTCATTTTACAACTCAGTGTAGGGTCTGTTGCACTTTTTGTTTATACAGACACAGCAGATACATTGCTAGAAATTATGTGTAAAACATGTGTTATGTTAATCAGTGTAAGGCAGTAAATGCATTTTAATATACTAAAACAAAACCATATAAGAGATTGTGATTAAACGGGACATTATACTAAGATAACATAATATTTAGGGCAAGTGATTCAGAAACAGCAAGTACATTACTAAAGGAGAAAGGAGTGTAAAGGTGAGGCAGAAAGAGGGGGAGTGGCATACAGGAAAGCAATACAGGGAGAGAACGGGTGTGTCATGGTTTGCTTTGGCTTTTTTCCCACTGGCTATGACTGTGTCGTTTTTTACAATAAAAATGCAGATGCATACATTGTATCTTGTTTCACTCTTAACCGGTAATACATATCAAAGAATAGCAAAGTCTCTCAATTTGTAGTCACTCAAAAAGTGTTGTGTGGTGAGCCTCATGGGGTTATAGTGCAGACTTTGGCCCTGTCCGATTATTTAAAAGTCCCTGATTGTCTTGTTTTGTGAGATTCCTTTGATGCTTGGAACAGTTATGTTGATCTAAGGCTAAAATAGCTGCTGCTTAAAGAACAATACCTCTGTTGGATGTATTAACTCTCATAGATTATTGACTTTTGAACTCCATGTGATTCACAAATCACACACACGCCATTTGGATGTCTTTGCTCAAGGAACACTCAAAACCTACATGTTGAGGCTTGTGAGACAAAGAGCTTGCATGAGTTCAAGTTAGACATACATGAGAAAGCTTTGGACTTGATGCACCCAAAAAACTGAAAATGTATCCTCTTAACTACTTCTTCTTCTTCTTCAACATTATTCTGTAAACTTATAACACATATTTTCTATGAAAGTATATCTGCACATGCCCCAGGTGAAGTATGTTCATTCTCAAACATGAAAATAAACATGTTTTTTTTTATGTAGACATGGATCACTGTTGAGATCCAGAAGAATAGAAGCAGATTTAAGTGTTTTCGTGCATTATCAACAAATATTACAGACTGAGTTTAAGAACAATGATCTGAAATGAAGCTCATTTATACATTTTTGGCTTGAAAAAGTATGTTTGTAACTTTAAATTACGGAGGTTAATTCAAGCAGAACTCAAGTAACAGTCTCCTTGGTGAAAGTCTTGTTTGACCAATGTATACCCACCCTAACCTCCTCTATGTGGAGGTGAAATATGATTAATTCGGACAAACGCAATCTGAGACAATTTGAATTGACCTAAAACTGCAATTGACAATGCATTTTAGTCGTATGGAAATGTAATTTTGAGGAGATGAGGTGGACAAACATTTTACTGCTTCTTATGTTTTTGCTAATCTCAAGTTTTGAATCTTTTCTTGTATGCACTCTCTGTTACCTAATATTGAACATTCTGAAATCTTACTACACTATAATTAAAAAAGAAGTGTATAACTTCACCAATGGGCTTCACTTTAACATGTTATAAAATGCAATGACGTGTATACATCACAACAGATATAAGTTAAGTATAGTGTAAAACATAATTTGTGATAGCCGACATTTCACATGTGACATCCGATGTGTCAAAGAATCATGTGATAAATGCCAATATGGGCACATTTATTACGACATTATGAAACATTTAATTCCTTATCTTTGTTTTGAAGGTGATCAGTACGCAAGTTTTAGATTGATAAAATGGGATCTCCTTATTTTTTTATAACCATTGCATGGAAAATTGCATGCTGTACTTGTTTGTTTGCTGGTATAAAGTGGTTCTTCCCTGTGTATGACGGGGGTTGCTGGGGCATGATGACAACTGCTAAATACCTTAGATATTTCTTAGCAGCAAACAAGCTCAGACAGAGAGCTGGAAAAGGTGAAAAAAAGGGACGAATAGGACTATAGCATTCATTCAGAAGAAAGAAAAAAAGGTTCAAAAAGGAGAAGCCACGTGGATACTTCCAGCAGGCTCTGCTCATATGCTTCTGTGACCGAAGAATAAACAAATGTTCAGCTCTACACTGTCATCACTGGATGCTGGGTGGAGTACTGTTATTAAATCTCTCAGAGAAGGCACACACAAAAAAGAAAGTGAAAGAGTTAAGGAACGGCAAGAGCGAGAGAAGGACAAATATAACACAGAAACTTCAGAGAGAGAGAGGGAGAGAGGAAAAAAAGATATTTAAAGCAGAGGAGAAAGGGACAAAGAGACAGAATATATGCTTGTTTTTCATGTTAGACGGTAAGACTAATAATATTGTTCCGTGTGGAAGGATTAACACCGTGTTGGTTTAACCAGTGCAGTGTTGTTCGTTTTCTGTGTAATTCGTTCTCCGTAATGCTGCTAATGTGCCTTCATTCAGGAAGTACCATTCAACTAGTTGACCGTGTTAACTACTGCTCCAAGCTCTAGAGTTCACAGAAGCTGTTGCTATGAATAGTTTGTTCTTTCATGTGTTATTTTCTATTTTCTCTGCAGTAACCCGAGATGAACAAAGCAGATCTTCTCCCAGTGATTCATGCAGGGGACGGGAGGACTCTATCCAGGTGGGACACTGCTAAAACTCTGCTGAATTTTGCCTGAAAGTACTCCAGGATGTGGTACATATAGACACTATCAAGTTTACTGATAATCACCTGGGATTAAAATACTCATTCATTCAAAACCAGAATCAGCTAAAGCTTAAAACAAGGACAACAAAGTGAACATAATCAAATGTATGTGTTTAAACATTTGTGTGAAAACCCTTAAGGCACTTGAGAATCAAAAACCCTTGTTTTTATTTCCGCATTCAATTCAAACACAACGTGCATATATTGTGTGACGGCAGGTTACGTAACACACTTCTATTTTGAAGGCATAGAACAATTGAAATTCACCTGGAAAAAAACCTTCTGGTTGTATGTATATTATGGGTCAGTGTTGCACTTCAGCCTCTTGTGGCCGAAATTAGTATTCCAACAACAATTACATAAATTAATAAATTAAAAATCACCATCCACAACTGTGATAGTAAGGAAAGGGCAACATATTGCAACTTAGAAAAACTAATCTGCAAAACCTTTTTTACATAAATAAAAATGTTTTATATTTGAATGGTAATAAAGAAATGTATGACAAAAAGATTGACAGTGGTGTATGCAGTGTGTTAAGAGTTGTACTTGACACTAATGCTAAATAAACAGAATGTATTTAAAATATAAAATCTATAAATTCCAGTAATAACAGATTTGTTCTGTTGTGTTTATTTCAGAGCAGAGTTTCTCTCACTGCTGAACACCTACAACTGCTTTCTCAAGGACCACACTCAGCTCCACCTCAGTTACTCACTGGTATGTTAAAATAAGACATTATTGTGATCTCCTTTTATTATTTGAAATAACTTGTCACAGCTGTATCGCATACAGTATCTTGAAGGCTCTTATTTATAACCAATAAATAGCTGCCTTTTACGTTTGGCTCATAAAGTGTAGTGTTATTGAATGTATTATAGTAATTATACACCGTGCAGGTATCTTTGGGTCTGTGTGTGTAACAGGATGGTGATGGAGAGGTGGTGGTGGAAGGCTTCCTGAATATCTCCTGGGGGGGTACGGAGACCCATCCGTCTGAAGATACAGGACGATAAACAGATGCTGCCCTTCGCTCCTCTGATCTCTCCCGGACCCACCAGCCCAGTCAGCCCCATCGGAGACAAGAGGTGCCTTTCAGATTTTCTGTTCATTGGCATTAGAAAAATAAGATGCTATTTTGTGAGATTATCTTCTTCTTGCTGATGGAATCATCTCAATAACATTTTATGTCATCCTAATTTGACCAGTTAAAACCAGGCAATGATAATCATTTGGGCTGTTTTGCTTCCATAGTGTGTCTTGTATAGTGTATAGTGTATACTTTTAGACTAGAAAAATGAAAACAAATACACATTTGGGTGTTTATTTGACTTTCTTTGTCCATTGATGTCTGGAGATTTATTTTAAATTGACCAAAAATGAGCATTAGATAATCCCTAATCTGTCACATTAAACATAACATTTAAGAAAACTTGCAAAAATACATTGTATTAATGCAAGTAAACAACTGGGGGAGTTAGTGATAACTATAAGAATTTGTATTCCCAATTTACCTTTGACGTCTTGCACAATTTAGTTGGGTTTGTTTCTAAGCTGTATTATCAATATCATACATTATAAAACGTTTTATATTTGAAAACTAAAAGATTTAAATTACTTTAGAAACTAGACTTTACAAGTAGATGTCTAAAATTCTAAAACTCTGTCCTAGTTTTTTTTCAAATGCATTTGTCCTTTTTAAACATACAATAAAGTGGGCTCCTAAACAGATACACAACAGTGTGAATACATTGGGGTTAGGGTTAGCATGAATTACCACTTCTAATTATTTAGTGTGAATAGTTTATTTTATTTATTTTTTTCGAGCGTGTAAAACCAAAGAAAATACAAATGAAACAAAAGATGATACAGACATGATACAGTACTATACAAATGAATGCAATAACAAAACGAAATATTTATAACAAAACGAAATATTTAATTAGAAACAGTTTTAAGTCTCTGAGATGATTCTTCCCTTCTCTGTCTTTTTGCAGGGGCATGTCTCGATGGGGAGAATATTCAGACCTTCACCAGATATATGAGATGTCCGACACACCACTTGACACAGTCGTCACCAAACCTTTGCCAGGTTGTTTTTAATGTCCTCCCATAGCCCAGGATGTGATGTTGTAATCATCGTAACCCTAACCTTAACCCTATCTTAATTCAAAGTAGAAACGTATTAGTAACTTTATCCTTTCGAGGACATTTAATTCAATAACACATTGTAATCAAACCTCATTGTTAACTTGATTGTTTTTACAAAAATATGTTGTCTTACCAACACCAAACAAGTCAACAGTGTGATATGTTTGGTCTTTTGCACCCAATGTAGAATATGGCACATTTTATTTAATGTTTATGTAACCTCTAAAGGCCCTGCTGTGTATGAGACGACCACGCTGCGTCCCGTGAGGCAGAGGAGCTGCGACCTGGAGACGGAGTCCAACCTGATCCGCTGTATGAGTGACGCCTCATTGGTGAAGAGGAGGAGGGGGAGGGGGAAGACATCGGCACAAAGGGAGCAAGAAAGACAACACCGCTTTTCCATAAATGGACACTTCTATAACTATAAGGTGGCTTTCTGCCCAACTTCATTATTTTTTAAATCAATGCTGTCATTTTCTTTCTATGTAACTTTCCTTTACCTTCTCCTGTCTTCTTCTACAGACTGCCATCTTTACTCCATCCTTTGGCACCCCTACTAAAGTTCGTATCTCAAGCAACATGAACACAAACCAGGTTATTGAACAGCTCCTACACAAGTTCAAGGTGAGTTTTTGTTCTTCAAATCGTAGGAGAAAATGCACAACATTGTCTTATTTCTGGTTTTAACAGACTCAATTCCTCTTAAATGGACATTTGCAGGATTAAAATGATTTATATTTATTTGACTGTTAATAAAGTTAAGAATTACACAGCAAAGTTTGGCTATGTTATTTGAAATGACTATTAGTTTCGTTTGAGTGTCCTTTTCGAGCTTCTTGCTCTTTTTTTGCATTTGCAGCATTTTTTTTATTCGAAAGGGTTCGTTAAGGCAGCGCTTTTAGTAAATGCTGTGTATGTGTTGTCAAGTTAGAGAAGATGTTTATACATTTTAATGTGTTTTGGCACATTTGTATTTTTGTAGTTGCATTGTTTTTTAAGCTGCAGCGCGTTTCTCCCTATGCCTGAGACACACTTCTAAATTGGGATATTGGGATAACACGTTTTGTATCCATGTATTATGGATTACACTGCCATATACAGCTTTTCATTTATTTAAGAAACATATATATATCATAAATATTTAAAAAACACAAATAATATAGGCTGAAAAGGGATGTGATTTACTAAAAAGAGAATAATAGACTTACATTTGTGAACCAGAGCAAGGATTGGTTATTGATGTAAACATGTTTCTTCTGTGTTTATTCAACAGATAGAGAACGACCCTCAGGAGTTTGCTCTATACTGTGTTCATCAGAGTGGAGGTAAGGTTTTTCACACATTACATTTAACAATTACAAGATGGAAGACAGCAAAATGCTTCACTGATGTTGTGTGTGTGTCCAGAAAAGAGGAAGCTCAGTGACGGAGACCAGCCCCTGTGGGAGCGCATACTGCAGGGACCCTCTGATGACATTATGAAGATCTTCTTGATCAACATGGACGAACAGGAAGTTAGCAATGCCGTGAGTTGTCAAGCAGTAGAAACCCGTCAAATACACTTTAACCCTCCTGTTGTGTCTTATTCGCTATTTGAAATGTCTTAGTTGACAAGGTTATTGTTTTTCTTTCAGGTAGCACAGTACCTGAACTTGGAGCTTCCTATCCTGGAGCAGGTTCTACTGAAACTCAGAGAGGAGGAGAACAGAGAGATACAGAGATTAGTAAACAAGTGAGTATACAATTGTAATTGTTGCATTGAAACACTTCCATACAGGATGCCATTTGCTTTATTGAGAAAATGTACAGTGACATCTGTAGATCAATTGGAAAATGCAAAGTTCTTGGCATTTTGAGGCATACATCCCTGAAAGGCAAGTGAGAACAAACATATGATCTATTTGTGTTACTCTCCTGGGATCCAAATATGAATATTTTAATTAAGTTCATTATTAAAAGAGGTTTTTGCAGGAGAATTTGTTTTAGTTTTTTGTTGTCGTTGTAATATTCATTCCAAACACCGGAGGCTGACCCTTTTTTAAATGTGTGTTTTTGTCACAAACACAAGAGAAAACTTTAAGAATCAAGAAATACATCACCAGAATTATTTTATTAATTTCCTGGCCTCAAATATAATACAACAACGTCATTATACTCAAGCCATAGAGTGCACAATCATATAACATATTTAGTTTGCTCTTTTTAGCATGACTTCATTCTCCTGAAAACATTTGTTCATCATAGACCATATTATAGTTTAAGTGTTTGAAAAACCTCTGTAGTAACACATCTGTGGCAGGTGATGGCGCCATTATTCTAAATTCCCTTTTTTTGTATTTGCTGTATTCTGGTGGTGTTTGTATATTTAAAATGTGTGTGTTATTTTTTGTCTGTGTGTCTGTCAGGTTCCACAACCAGCATCGACTCCTGTCCCTTGTACTGAACCGTAAAATGTCACCTCACATTGAGACAAGCGTGTGACAATTTCCAACACAAGGCCTTTCACTCATCACAGCACCACGAAGGAGTAGCTGTGGAGAACTATACAATAACATTAGGCGCACACTGCAGTACTTTTCCCACAAAGGTTCATGATAATTTAGTTCATGAGAACTCTTTAGTTCTCATGAACTAAGTACAGATCGCGTTCACACCGGAATAAATCCCTGGGGGAGGATTAGGCAAATGAAGCCGCTGACGTCACTTCTTCTTCTTCTGCTTTGGGTTTACTGGCAGGCCGCAAACCACTTCATGGCGTATACTGCTTCAGTAGAAGCTGCTGGGACTCCCAGCAGCTTCTACTGAAGCCTTCCGAGTAAATCGCCAGAACGCCGACACCTCCTCATTTCCACCGCTCCCATGTTTTATTTTGTGTTGCCATAAATTAGTATCTCTGCGTTTCTGCGCTGGGCTAATGCTAATAATGCTAATGCGAGGATAATAAAATGGCGGCTTCACAAAACATTTTGGGAGTTTTACGGGGCGTGGTTTGCAATCCGCCCAGCCAATCAGAAATAGGAACCGTTTACCCCCACGAAAGTCCCTGCTCTCTAGCAGGGACGGAAAAGGGGGTGAAAAGGTTCTCATGAACAAATGTTTAGCACCGGCTCTCTTTGGTGTGAACGCGACAAAAGAGTTCTCATGAACTAAGTTCTCATGAACCTTTGTGGGAAAAGTACTGCGGTGTGAATGGTCCTTATGGTTATTGATGCAAAAGTATGAATGTGAAACAAAAAGGTGAATATTCTGTAAAATACCACGGACAAACTGACAGAAACTGTTTTTTTCACAGTCACTTATGTCATTTGTGTATGTCAGGTGATCTATATTCCTTCCTTTTTTTAAAAATAATGTCCTGATGAAATTGTAAATGCTGCTGTAAATAACTGTAAATCAGTGTTTTGTGTTAATAAATATACTTTGTGGGACCAACATGACGTCTTATGTGTTTTTGTGCTCTTCAGTAAGATTTTCAGGGATTATGATTGAATTAAAAATGATTAAGTAGGATTATATATATATATATATATATATTAAAAAGCAAATTGAAAGTGTAACCTGATGTAAAATAAGTCTTTAACTTTATTAAGTCATTTTGTAATTTGAAGACATGTTTCCTTTTGTTATGGAATTAAAGGACAAACCTTTATTTTATTTCTTTATCATATAATTCCACACCATATGTTAGATCAAGACAAAACAAGACAATAAGGCTTCATACAGAAATAGGGGAAAGTAACAGGCATGACTCAATTCTCAATACTACAAAAGAAAAAGTACAGCTATATAGTTTAACAATAAAATGTAGTTAATTTCCTTTAATTAACATGCTGCAATTGCTCCTTTCAGCTTATAACAGATTCCCCTGATGCAAACCAAGCTTTACCTATCAGCTGTTTCGAGTTTCCTCCTGATTTCCCTCACCTGTTCCCAGTGGCGTTTTTATATGTACAAAAGTGGTGGGGCACAAAAAACTTAGATGTCTATATATAAGCTTCTGCAGTGAGGTTCATGGCTGGTGAGGCTCTGACTCTTCAGGTTATATGACCTAAATCAAAATATCATATTATTTTCAAAAGCTTTTTTTGTCTGATGCTTCAATTAATTTTAAACAGACAGTGCAACAAAAGGATACCCAAAAAATGTAATTGTATCATTTAAATATTGAATTGTTCTCTCTTAGTAAGATCCCATTTTCAATCAAATTGCAGTCTTACCTTGACATGAAGATTAAGTCCATTTGCCTATCCCTCTGGACAAAAATCTCTATTACTTTTTTGTAAAAGTCCTCCTTATGTTCTTGTAGTTTCAAAAGTCTATCATAAATCTGATCTAATCAATAGATTTATGATTCGAAAATTATATAAAAGTAGGGTAGACATGTGGATATTTTCCGGCTGAACAAAACGTGCATTTATCTAACAGGTTTGTTTCCCACAGATCTTATTTGGAGCTATTTTCTCAAATCCTATGGAGAAATATCATTGCTTTTTTGTGGAGGGAAGCCATGCGCAGTTTATTTCCAGGTTTTAGGACGCCTCACTGCAGCTCTCTCTCCTCCTCTTCACACACCACACTTTTCGCGGCACACGTACTTACAGCCAATCAGCTCTGAATTATGTGAGATGACGTATGGTGGGGATGGCAGCACAGTGCCCCTATGGTCATTATTTTTTTGCCACACACATTAAATAGGACAATACTCTGAGCATGCGCAGTGTAGTTTTTACAGTCACCATTGACTTAAACAGGGAGAGGGAGGGGCAGGATCGGGTTTTGTCCCACATGGCTCAAAACAGCTCAATAGGCACACATTGTAGACACTAATTAGAAGAACACAGACTAAAACAGCAATGTACAGACGAATCAGATGAATAAACATGATCTTAAAATATATTTTATATTTTTTTTTATTTATCTTTTGCATTTTTTTGTAATCATTACTTTTAATACTTTCTGCTGACACTAGGTGGGGCTGTGCCCCACCTGCCCCTAATGACCAGTCGCCACTGCCTGTTCCTCATTCCCTCATCAGGGTCTTATAAGCCATCCAGCACCCACTTTCTGCCAGATTGTCTCTTATGCCTCACCGGCTCTCAAGCCTCAGTTCTTGGTTGCAATCCAAACTTATTTTTATTTCTTAGGAAGCTTTCTGACAGTACTTAAATGCCAGCCATGATGAGTTGTTCAACATCTCTAGTTCAACCCGGAGAGACGTGATGTATGGAATACATATTTATTGTTACACGTCATATGAATGAGATGATTGCCATGATAATACAACAGGAGAATGGAATGGTGTTTGGCGATTAGGCCCCGGTTTGCAGGATAATCATTCAGGAGGGAAAGAACCGCTCCGATTAAATCCCCGGGGTCTAGACACTGGTGGTGGTGATAAGTAGGTGGGACCGGTCTGAAGAAGGAAGGTTTAGCTTTGTCCTGGAGGAGACGGGAGGCGAGAGGGGTGGAGGAGGGTTGCGTGTGGTCACCTGAAATGACAACTGACAGGAAGAAAGAGCAGACATTTAAGGAATTTAACGTGTGCAGCAATTGGCTGCTGAGGGGTGACGCCGACGCATTTAATGAGGGGGAAGAGAGCAATAGAGTGACGTGTAATGCCCCTGTCACACCAGCGCTTTCTCAGCTCCAGCTCGGAGCTGGAACCTGAAAAGCGCCGGTTTTTCCTGTTCACACCGCAGTGGCGCCGGCTCTTAGCTCCGGAATCCGGTCTAGAGGCAAGAGCTTCGGAGCTAAGAGGTGGCGTCGCTTACGTCTCTCTTACGTCGAGGCGTGCAGGAAACTAAACCCACCTCCCCTGAACATGGGTCGACTGTCATGCCTGCCTACAAGCAGTAGTGCTTATAAACACAATTTATAAAGTCAGGCAACACTAACCAGGCTTCGTGTGATTCTGTTTATTTGTACCTTACTTTGACCATCCGTTCACTGTTATTGATCATTGTGGAGAGAGGCAGACGTTTTGTTTTGTATTGTAGCAGCTATCGGATGGAATCAATACATGGGCTGCACAGGTTGTCGTGTCCGACTATCACAAGTAGAATCATAATAAAAATACGGCGGTAAAATGTGCCTGTAGAAAACGGTTTATGTCACAATATGATAGCAATAGCAAGTAGTCAGTTTAGCTTCGGTTGCTATGCTAACATCACCCATTTTATACCAGAGAAACTTTCATAACGGCGTTGTGATACCAAACAGCGTCAATTCAGACTGACACACATTCATTTAGGCTAAGGGGAACTGGGGATATGTATCAGCTGCTTGTGTGAGTCGGACAGTGAATACTTTAGAGCGGCCGCTGCAGTGTGAGCTAACCGGGAGCTAACGGAGGAGAATAAACTCCCGTAGAAGAGCAGCCAACACTGCAGCGGTCGGTAAATGCTGCAGAAACACATTAATAAACAATGAACCACGGCACTCTGGAGCAAAGTATAAGGTTGGAGAAGTCGTTATTCAATTTATTCTGGCTTCGTGTGATTAAAAGCAACACGATCATCGACCCGACGCAGTTCCCCGTTGTTGTGAGCGCCGTAATGCCGTTGGGGAGCAAATCAGCGATGTAAACGGTAACGTCATGACGCAGCAGCGGCAGCACCAGTCGGGTGCTGGGCGGTGTGAACAGAGCGGGAGCAGAAAAGGGAAACCGGAGCTGAACCAGAAAAGCTCTAGCTCGGAGCTAGAAAGGGAAAAGCGCTGGTGTGAAAGCCGCATAAGTGACTCATTGTTAGGTCTTCCTTATTGAACTTGCGCTTAAGCTTTCATATTATAGAAAATGGAGCTTCAATCCTTTACAGAAGCGAAGGAGATAATACTGTCCCACAAGTCCTTGCGACCACAACACTTAAAGTGATGCAACATTTTTCTGTTCACGGAAACAAGCGATTGTGACCGTTTAACCTAGAACATGTAAGTTATGGTACATCTCAAACATTTTACATCCAAAATGCATGTGTGCTTTTAAATGTGTACAGTATGTTAAACCTAAAGCCAAACTATGAACATTATGCTAATAATTGTTACAAGACCATCAAATACAATTAATTTATCATTTTCACCGTTGTCCACGTTAACAAAGTCCATATGAAACAACATCAGAACACATGGGGCCAAGTGTGTTTTTGTAGTCCATCTTAGGAATATTGTATTTTTCCCACAGCAGACATGCATCAATAACCTCCGCTGGTGCATCATAAATATGTTGCCCACCCAGTGTTCAGTTACAGTCTCCTAAAACCACGGTCGTCTAAGTCCTTTACGAAAAAAAAAAAATTATTCTCCCACCACCCTCATTTGCTAGCCTGCCTGTTTCCATTACCCACCTATTTCTTGGTTTTGCCTGCTTGCCTGCTCCCTTGTGCACATGTTCGGTGCCTGATGCAGACTTGTAATGCTCTCCAAGGGACCAGTCTCGCTCAATTAACTATTATCTGATCATCCCTGATATAGCTTTTTAGCTGAAATGCCTACCAAATCCCCCTAAGACTCAGCAGCAACACTTCAACAAAAAAAAAATGAAAGGTTGAGTATTGGGGAAAACCAAATGCATCTTAAATTATTTGAACAAGTCTTCCAAACTATTTCCATTTGATCAAATGGAGCAGGCATACAAATAGGAGATGTCTGTGTAAACCAGGAAAGTGCTTACAAG